ATATAAAAATCATTAAAATCCATTTGCTAAAAATATAAAAAATATTTACCGAAACTTATCAAAGAAATTACATAGATGCACAATTTGCAGCATTCCATTCTCTGACATTTTATGAACCTTTGCAGATAAATTTATAACTCGACAAAGTATTCTACGCTTAGACAAAAGAGTGTACTTTAATTTAATATAAAAATCATTAAAATCTATTCACTTTTAATATAAACAATATTTCTCAAAACTTTTCAAAGAATTAGCGAAATTGTACAATTTGCAGCATTGCAATCTCTGATATTACTCTAGGATAACCACGGATTTTAAAGAGCTTTGATATATTAGCTTAAACACTTTATCACGATAACACCCTAATATATCAAAGCTCTTTAAAATCCGTAGGTATCCCAATGTAAGGTCCCCTTTTATAAGATAAATAATTTCCACTTAGTGTTGAATTAATATAAAAAATTAATTTCACTTACGTATTCCTCCATTTTTGTTGTTTTTGTTTGTTTTACATAATAATAAAACATCGAACGTAAAAATGTACGTAATACATTAGATTTGATTGTTACGTAACATTAATCAGGTTCCTCTTCATTTCATTATAATATCAAGCTGACTAAGGTATTTGAGATTTGACGAAAGGGTGGAAGTAAAAGAACGCGATCTATTCGAGGACGCGATTGGACAACTATACCAACACATACACATATATATACATACGTACGTGTAATAATACTTACATGTATAGATAGTTCGTGACAAGCCTAAGCGCCGGCCTTGTCTACCCCAGTCGTCTGATAGTTCAAGCACGTTGCTTTTATTAAACCAAGGGAACTGTCGATGCTCAAAATTTATTCGCATAAATTATATTATACGCTAACACATTTTACTTCCTACTAATATTGAATACAAAAATTCGTCTTAAAATAAGACAAAAATTATATATATATATATATAAAAATTAAAATAATATAAATATTATTGCAAATATAAATGTTATGCATAACACATTTTACTTCCTACACTTTGAAAACAAAAATTCGTCTTAAAATAAGAAAAAAAAAAAAAGAAAGAAACAAACTAATTCTTCTTACAGTCATTTGATTTTTTTATTTGTTAATTTTCAACTAATTTAATTAATATTAGATTCGATTTCATATATATATATATATATATATATATAATTAATTTGTATTTTTATTTTAAAGCAAAAATATTATATATATATACAATGTGTATAAAAAAAAAAGAAATTGATATATAAATTGAAAAGATGATTATTGTAAGTAAAAAAAGTGTTGTTTATTAAAAAAGGTTCGTTGACGTAAGCGTATACACATAGTAATAGGTATAGAAAACTACGGAAGCCCTTCCCTATTTCAATCTACGTCACATCCTCATTCACGAACTTACCAATAACGAGGCATTGTTTACTGGACAATCAATGTTGTTGCCTTCTCTTAAGTCAAGATTATTCTATATTAGTGAACGTTGTTGGTTTTTTTTTATCAGTCAAGTAATCACTTAAATCATTTCTAATTAATTCAATGCAACACATTCTAATCATTATTTATTATTATTATTATTACGTTTATTAATTATTAAGGAGTAATAAAGATAAATTATAGAAATCATTTGTATCGAACTTTGTGTTTACAATTTTATTATATATTTTTTGATTTTTATTTCTTTTGGATAAGATACAGAACAACAACACTTGTTTGTAAGAAAATTTTCGTATATATAGAATTAACCGTGTAAAATATGAAATAAAATGAAAAAAAATTGATATTTGAAAATATATATATATATATATTGTAGATAGTTTAAACTGTAGTTAATAAATTCTCACTTATGTGTCGGAATAAGTGTTAAATCATGCCACGCAGTTTCTATCGGACCCTATTTGCTCCTCCTCGGAACCTTAAACGCATGATCGAGAATATCGAGCGCAAAGCAGATCAGGGTCGTGACCTCGATTGTTAAACACCCACTTCCAATTTTTCTCTTTTAATAATCTCTTTTTTTTCGGGCATCTTTTTAAGTTTTTCAATTTTCTTTGTTTTCTTTTTTATTTATTCAAAACACCGAATTCTTTGGGCTACGTGCGTTTCATTTTGTTGTTGTTGTCAATGTGTTCTCTTTAATCCGCCTTGCAGTATGTTTCACCTGTCGATAAAAATGCATCATTGTAATACGGGTTGTCAACCTTTCGGGGCCACTTTTAAAAACAAACTATTCAATTAAATTATTATTGATTATTTAATGAGAGAATTTATATTAATTTTGTATATAAAATAAATATATATATTGAATCTGTTTAGTATTTGAGATTAAAGTTGCAAAGATAAAAAAAAAAGAAATTAAAACTATTATTGAAGCATATGTTGATAATATTATAATATATATATCGTATAATATTCGTTCAATAGAGATAAGTATCAAAATAGATTAATTTGTAAAGTGTTAAAAAGTTAAAACGTGTTTGGCAAAACGAAAAGATTATAAAGTGATCCTTCCAAGAATAGATAACGATGAAGATAATATTACAATAGATACGTGGGCGTGTTATCAAAAAGATGGTTTATCGATCGTATGAAAAGTTAAAAAATGTACAAAAAACAAATCATCCCACCGGTTGTAGCTTTTTCAATAAAATCCATATAACTGGTGACCCTCATGTTACCACCTGGATAATCATCGGCACAGGTTCTACCAAAACTAATTACACCAACTTGTATAAGATTACCAGTAGTTGGACTTGTCCATAAAACTGGACCACCACTGTCGTTCTGTACAATCGTAAAATAACAAAATCAATTTATTCGTTTCTTTTTGCACTTTAATTATTTTGTCCGCGAAAAACGAATAAAAAAAAAAAATGGTCGAAGTGCAAAAGTTTGTTAATTAATTAATATAAGAATCGATATACTTAACTTTGCAAGCATCTTTTCCAACATCAAACGTACAAATCATTTTCGGACTGTAAAAAAATCTGTAACTATCAGAACATTTCTTCGGTGTAATAACGTGCAAATCAACTTTCCTTAAAACCTTTGAATTTTCACCATGATAACTCAATTTACCCCAACCTGTGATGATGAATTTATTAAATAATACATTTGATAATTAAAATTGAGACTTTTAAAATACCAACCTGATGCCGTTACAGTCTCGTTAACAAAATCTTTGTCCATGTAATTAAATGGAAGACAAACTGGGCCAACTTGCATCGAATAATCAATTCTCTCCTTTGTTTTAACAATTGCAATGTCATTAAAATGTTGCCAATAATCCGGATGGATGGTTACTTCCTCGACGGAATAACGTTTCATCGCGTTTGTTTCATTATCTAAAAAATATTATAATGAATTAAAATTAAATCAAAACGTTGAAATAATTTGTTAATAAAAAATCAAATCAAATCAATTAAAATGAAATAATGTTTTATATGGACCTTTCGTGTAATCGTGTTCACCAACGACGACTGTTAGACTGTTCAAATTATTTATGAATAGTTCAACGCAATGAGCTGCTGTTAATATATGTCTTGGTGTTATTATAGATCCACCACAATAATTATATGGCAACGGATATAGAATACGAGCCATCATGGGAAACTCATTTATACCTGTTTCAACTCCATTTACGATTCTCGACTATAAATATATGTAATATTAATATCATTGATATTAATTATTGATAAATAATCGAACAAATGACTGTCTCGTTTCATTTACTTTTTTTTTTGTTTTTTTTTTTTTTTAACTTACCGGATTTTTCCAACCACATCTACATTTTTCTTCTTCGGATCTTGCAATGCTTATTATCCCAATAAGTAATAAAATAAATATGCCTATATATATAACAAAATATTAATATGCCTATAAGAAAATATTTATTACAAAATGAAGAAAAGAAAATATTTTTGATTTGAAAAAATACCTGATTTCATAACGATGGTCGTGGTGATGGTGGCGGTGATTCAATAAGGAAACAGACAAAAAATTTGAATCCTATCGATGCAGTCATCGAAACAACTGCAAAATTCTTTCGGTTTCCCACGTTTTTATATTTCAACTTGGAAACATAAAACTTTTGACGTAAAGCAATAATTTCGAAATCAGTGTCATGATTACAAATTTTTATCATCATTGCACCCTATCATATTTTATTTTCGTGAGGAGGAAATATTAAATTTACCATTACAATCGTGTTTTCGTGTATACGTAAACGCATGTGTATATTCGCATGATTGTGTAACAATCACATACACACACATACCGAAATTTTTATTTCTAAGATTTTATATCGATTTCGTGGTTTTATTTATCTTTATTTCATTTGAAAAACAAAAAAAAAAAAAATAATTTTTTAGTATTATTCCAAATTTTATAACATTTCATAAATATTCGTAGGAAAAGAAGGGAAAAAAAAAAAGAAAAGAAATATATAAATGTAGATAATTTTAATTGAAATTATTGTACGCGATGTTGAAAATGAAAAACTGGGGAAAAAAATTTCAGGGAAATTTGAATTGACGTAAGAAAAATATGGAAAAATCATTTCGTTTAGGTATAATATCCGTTATCATTTGGCACAAGGATGACGTATTTATTCCCAGTGACGTAAGAATTTCATGCAAAGTGGCAAATGACGTAAGAAAGGATACAGTAAAACGTTTTAAAAGATCAACGTTTCGTTGTTGCTATTATCAATTCTCATACCTAATCGCGATTATATTTCACTTGACAATATAAACAAGTTTAACAACATAATATATATATGTATATGTATAGAAATGATTTTTATTTCTATTTGTAAATTACATTAAAAAAACTTTGTTAGATTAATACAAATTAGGAAAAGGAAAAATAATAAAAAAAAAAAGATCGTTAATTAAATGTCAATGAAATACAGTCAAACCTCCTATAACGCTGTAAGTGCGTTCCGCGTTATATGGAAACCGCGTTATAAGAAATTGGGATTTAACCGTACAAACCAAGCTAATTCGTAGCGCGTTGTATGGAAACCGGCTACCGCGTTGTATG